CTCTCCCACATACAAATCTGAGTGTCTGTTTCCTAGGGAACCCAACCTACAATGGCTTTTCCTCTAGATTTAAAATATAGGACAGTAATAATATGTGTACATAAATAGATAATGAGAATAGAGAATAAAGCAAATGGGGAAAATGTTAACAATTGGTGAGTCTGGATGAAAATCATATGGGCGTTCTTTGTACTATTCTTGTTGCTTTTCTGTAAGTTTAAAATTATTATAAAATGAAAGTTAAAAAAAATGACAAATACCAACTACTTTAAGATGCTTAAGTTAACTATGTGCCAAGACAACAAAATTGGAGTTGAGGTTCCAGATTCACAATTCTGAAAAGTTATAAACTTAAGCACCATGAGACTTTACTTTGAGACCTTACTAGTTCTTCCTTAGCCCACTGAATATTTTCTATGATGCAATATATTTGCGTTACTAAAAATTAATTTTCTTAAGCAGATTATTTAATTTGCTTGCATTACACCTGACAGGACATGCTTATTAGATGCTAAGTAATAAATGGAACAGTTTGGAAATCTGTTCAACTTATGGAGCATTGCATTTCCAAAATGTGCTGGAGCATTGTTAATGCCTGATAGTTTGAACGTCAGTTTGATATCTCATCTAAGAAATATCACAGGGTTTGCCAGTTCTGCTTTGTGGTATTATCTGAGTGGTACAGGCTCAGCGGGATGTACGGCTTCTTTCTAGATAGTTTCCACAAAGTACTTAAAACCTTGGTTCAAAGCACTCGTCTTTGAATGACTCAGTGGCTTCATTTCCTGCAGCATCATTACTTTTTCCTCTGAGGTTTCTCATTCACATACCGGTCTTCGTTGGCTTGTGACTTCACTGTGTCAATTGATAAGTAGCTTACAAGACCAAAGGGATGCCATTTCCACTAAGGAACTATAAGAAACGTAATGTATGTTCTCTCCTTTTACTTGCCTGTGAAAATCCAGAAATTAATGTTGTGTGATTACCAAATCTAATTAAGCATACCTCACTTCCAGTGTTATGCTATCTGATACTAAAAGAAAAATTTAATGAGTTTCTGTGGACCCACTATATTCTAATTGCTTTCTTTCTTGCCTCATAAGAGAACTTAAGATAAGTTTACAACATTTTGGCTATTCTAGGCCAAAATGCATCTCCAATATGCAAGATATTGTTTTTCACAATTCTTGCTATTCTTCAGTTTCTTTCACAATTTATTTCAAATTGACCTTATGAAATTTTTACTGATCTACTTCTATGGTGTCTAAAACCTAAGTCCATATGTTTTCAGAGATAATTTAGCTGCTGAATGCCCAGGGAGTGATAATGTAGTTCCTTATTAGATCCAATAAAAGTAGATAAGATGATCTATGCCCAAGTCACCACTCTTTGCCACTATTAGTTACAAAATCTTCAAGCCCCAAATAAGCTCATTTTAATTATTCACTTTTATGTGAAGTTACAACAAAATGAAAAGTTACAACCATAAATGAAAAATTCTTATTTCTTTGGTATCTCTGGCATCTACCATACTTTCTCCTTTTGCCCATGTAGTTCCTTCTGCTCAGAGTAATTTCTCTCTTCCTCTACTCCTATTGGAACCCTGGCCATCCTTCAAAGCCTTGTTCAAATTTTACTTCCTTTTTGTGGCTGTTTCTTTTTACTCTGGTGCACATTGCTGTTCTCCTCCTTAGAGTATCTGTTCCTAAAATTGATTAATTCAAGGAAGTTTAGCATGTAATTGTTCTCTGTTTCCTGTAAGTCTGTATGTTAGACTTATATGCCTAGTCAGGCTATAAACTTCTGGAAGGTTAGGACTGTGTCTTGTATTACTGCTTTTCAGTATTTTTTTTTTTGCATAACCCCTAAAATGATTTTGAAACACTGTGTACTTCCTCACACATTTTTAAGTTGATATGTAAAGTTTTACAGGTACAAATAACTGCAGAGGATATAATTCTGGCACATTGTAAATATTGATATTAAAGACAAAAGAAAAAACAAGCAAACTGTTGAGTTATATCAATCTTTTAAATGTATTAAAGGAACCTAAATATCATTGTGACTGATACCTGTAGTCATTCATCTGAAAAAAAAATACATGAAGTCCTTAACTGTTAGAAATTTTACAATATTCCCTTTTCTCTTTGAAGTCATATTTTTATTCCACATTTCTCACAGAATTTTATTCTAATATAAAATATTTTTATGCTTGTAAATCTTCTCTACATCAAATAGATATAAAATTAAAATTATTTTTCTAAATTTTCTCTGACCAAAGAAATTAATATTTCTTCTAGATTGACTTATTACAATTATTGTTAGTATGCAGTCAATCAAAACCACATAAATGCATTATAAATTTGTATGAATATTTGTCAAATATAAAGAATAATTTTATTAGAAATACATGCTTCGATGAGATACTCAGAACTGCTTGTTTACCCACATAGGAATGTGACATTGCTAGCTACAAGCAGGGCTCTGCAGAAATCCTGCCTCTGCTTTATTTACATTGGTGTAAATATAAATGCTGAGAAAACTTGTTCACCTAAATTATAGGTAGGACAAGAAGGTGCTTTATTATAGCAGTCAATCAATTCTATGAATTCCTTCCAAGTAATATGCTGAAAATTATATAATGATTTATTATAAAAACTATTTTTATCTCATGTTGACTGTTAACTTGATGTAGTCTTTCTTCAGTGTTTCTGAGAGCAAAGAATTGGAAACATCCTACTTAGAAAAAGACTTACTAAGCAGTCATAAGGAGTAATTTATCAATTCTGGGAACAATACCAGAATAATCCTTAATAAAATTTATTAAATATTAATTAAACCTGTTATACTTTAACCCATTATACTCAGAAAGTGCAAGAAAAATTAAAATATTAATTGCAATATACCTGTCAATACAATTTTTTTAGAAAATGATTTTATTGTATCATATGCTTTAAATATGCTTTCATCAACTCTGTAGAACCTCAGATTTGGTTCATCCAATTTTTGGAAAATATTTATCCTATAACCTAGTTGGCAAAGCCAACTCTCATTGTCAAGACAATTAGCCAAATCAAATTTAAAGTTTTTTTCAGAAAATATCTTACTTTATTCAAATAAGTGTATAAATAGATGTTGTCCTCATTGTCTTCATACTCCTGAATCCTTTTCTAAGATGGATTCCAAAGGCATGAAGCCTCATCAGGAGTTTGTTGCATTGGTGACATATGGTGCCCCTGCCTCCCAAGCTTGCCTGGCTTTGCTCCCAGGGGACCCTTCCTTAGGAATGATGCATTCTTTGATAACAGGTGAGGAATGAAAAACACAAGGACATTAAATGAAACTTGTCATCTGTCCTGCTGCACCATACTGTATCAGAATACCAAACATGCTGACGTGGACCAAAATACCTTGTTAGTATGCCATGCTTTCCCATTAAAATAAATGCGTGGACAGGACAGAACTTGAAGTTTCTCCATCAGTTTTTTTTCTGCTTTGATTAGAGGCTTCCTCTATGTTAGTATTTTTAACTATTGTTTGGTGCCTTAGAGGTTCTTATGCTTGGGAAGAGGTATCATAATAAGATGGGTGAGGATATGCCTTTCTTCTGTAAAATGGGAGAAAATCAATTATTAGAGGGAAGGGGGAAAGAACTAGCTTGCTACCTCTGTGTAGCTGCATTTGCAAGCAGATCAGTTTTTGGAAAGAACGTAGGTGGAAGTTGTGGATCTGGAAGTGGATTCCTTGAAAACTGTCTATGCCCACCTAGCCCTTGGGAAGTCTTTACATATCCCCAGTAGTGTGTATATACCAAATTGAAGGTAGCTTTCTTACACTTATTGTACCCAATGATATGCTGAAATAGAGTTGCTACTACTTTCAGATTAGACTTTTTAGAGTTGGTAGTAATATATAGTAATTAACATAGGAAGGGAAAGATTAGGACTGTAAAAATAATGTTTAGCAAAAAGATATAAACAGAAATATCAGTTTATTTTCACCGGTTGTATTAGTGCATTCTCAAATTGCTACAAAGAACTATCTGAGATTGGGTAATTTATAGGTTTAATTGGTTCATGGTTCCACAGGCTGTACAGGAAGCATGTCTGGGGAAGCCTCAGGAAACTTACAATCATGGTGGAAAGCAAAGGGGAAGCAAGAATGTCCTACATGGCTGGAGCAGAAGGAAGAGAGCAAAGTGGGAGGTTCTACACACTTTTAAACTACCAGATCTCATGAGAACTCACTATCACAAGAACAAGGGGGAAATCTGTCTCATGATCCAATCACCTCCCATGGGGCCCCTCCTTCAACACTGGGGATTACAAATTGACATGAGACTTGGGTCATGTCACACAAATCCAAATCATATCACTGATCTATTCTCTTATGTTCAAAACAAAACTTTAAAATTGTGCTGAGTTCTTTTATCTAATAATCTATACATTTCTGATTAGTTTCTCTTAGAACACATCAAATTCACAGTGCAATAATAAAGTTCTTTAAAATACTACTTAATTATAGCTCTCATTCCTGCTTTCCTAAAATTTTATTTGAATAGTTTTCACTTTTTCAAATGCTGTTTTCTATATTATATTACACCTTATTTTTTAAAAAAAGATGACTTGGTAATATTATAAGAGTTGTTAATGTGGGAAAGGGCTTAGAACAAAGATTTTAATATTTATTCTAGGTTGACTTATTGTTAGTATACAGTTAATCAAAACCACATAAGTGCATTATAAATTTGAATATTTGTCAAATATAAAGAAAATACCTTAAGAATTTAAGTTGTATTTTTAAAATCAGTCTGAACTTCTCACTTATTACAAAGAGCCATATTAAAGTGACTAACATTCATAGGTTACTGTTGGCAGATGGTTTATATTTAGCAGGAAAAAAAATGTATCTTCAGAAGTGATTAACTTATACATTGTGAACTAATATAAAAACATAACTGTGTTTTGCCAAGTAAAATCTTAGCTTTATATTGTTGACAGAAAACGTGTGCAAGGCAGGATTGAAACGAGAGTATTGCCCAGATATTCATTATCCTACAGAAACTATGTTGTCCCAGGAAACACTTCGACTCAAGATTGAGGGTTGGAAATCAACAGAGGTAAGTCACTGTCATAGTTTCCCATAGCTCCTGTAAGAAATGCCTTAAAACAAACAAATGTATTATCTTATAGTTCTGTACGTTAGAAGCCTGACCCAGAGCTCACTGGGCTAAAAGCAAGGTGTCTGTAGGGCTGTGGTCCTTTCTGGAGGCCCTAGTGGACAATCCGTGTTTATGTTTTGGGTTTTTGTCTTTGGCAGCTTTGAAGAGAAATTGTGCTTGTCTTTTAACTTTGCTTTTGGTGTCTTTTGTTATACAGGGCTTTAAATATTAATAAGGTCAAATTGTCAAAGTTTTCTTTTATGGTCTGTGCTTTTAAAAAAAATCTTAAGGAATTCTTTCTTACCCTAATAAAAATCTCTTATTTTTTCTAATTGTTGAGGTTCTTATGTCCTCTAGAATGTTCCTATATAGTATAAGATAGAGTTCTTTTTTGTATCCTTGTAGATTGGCAATATTTAATTTATTGAATAGTCTTTTTCTACTCATTAAAAATAATTCTTGGCTGGATGCGGTGGTTTATGCCTGTAATCCCTACATTTTGGGAGTCCGAGGCGGGCGGGTCACGAGGTCAAGGGATTGAGACCATCCTGACCAACATGGTGAAACCCTATCTCTACTAAAAATACAAAAATCAGCTGGGCGTGGTGGTACGTGCCTATAGTCCCAGCTACTGAGGAGGCTGAGGCAGAAGAATTGCTTGAACACGGGAGGCAGAGGTTGCAATGAGCCGAGATACTGCCACTACACTTCAGCCTGGGGACAGAGGGAGACTCTGTCTCAAAAACAAAAAAATTATTGTGAAATAATTATATACTAACAGGAAGTTGCAAAGATAGTACAGAGTCCTGCGTGCCCTTCTTTCAGTTTGCACTGTTTGCATCTTATATGGAAATAATGTTGGCATCCTGTATGGTTGCAGTGCAGCATCAAAACCAGGAAACAGATATTGGTATATTCATGCCAACTAGACTACAGACCTTTTTCAGTGTTCAACTTTTCAATCCACTATTCAGTTTTTTAAACTTGCATTTGTGTTTTTGTGTGTGTCATTCTATGTAATTTTATCCCATGCATAGATACATGTACACAGGACCACAAGGAAGATATGGAACCAAAGAAGTGCCTTATGCTACACACCTGACTTCCAACCCATCCTCTGGCAGTAACTAATCTTTTCTCCATCCCTGCAGTGTTTGCCATTTCTAGAATGTTGAATAAATGGAATGAGACAGTATGCAACCTTTGAGATGAAATTTTTTCACTCAGTGTAATGTTCCTGAGGGCCGACAGGTTGTTGAACGTATCAGTAATGCGTTTCTTTTTGTGGCTGAGTACGTTCCGCTGTCAGGGTTTACTGGATTTTGTTCAATCATTCACTTATTGGAGAATATTCAGACGTTTCCATTTTTAGCTCTTATGGATAAAGTTGCTGTGAATATTTGTGTCCACATTTATGAGTGAAGTTTTCCTATCTTGGGGATAAATGTCAGAGACTTGTAGGGTTGTATGGTAAGTGCATACCAAGTTTTGTAAAATGGTCAAGCTATGTTCCAGAGTGGCTGTACCATTTTATATTCCCATGAGCAATGTGTAAGAGATTCACTAGCTCTGCATCCTAACCAACTTTTGGTATTACTGCTATTTTAATTTTAGCTCTTCTAATAGGTCTGTAATGATATCTCATTGCAATTTTAATTTGCATTTTCCAAATGGCTAATTATGTTGAATATCTTTTCATGTGCTTATTTGTGTCATTATAACTTATCTTTGACCTTATTCCTATTCCATATCTTTTATCCACTTTCTAACTGAACTTTTTTTAACCATTGAGTTTTGAGTTCTTCACGTATTCTGGTTATAAGTTATTTGTCAGATACGTGATCTGTATATGTTTTCTCTCCGTTTGTGGCTTGTGTTTTCTTTTTAGCAGTGTCTTTCATGGAGCAAAACCTTAAAATTTCAATGAAGTCAAATTTATTAGTTTTTAAGAATCATGCTTTCGGTGTCATATGTAAGAACTCTTTGCATAAACAAGATCACATAGGTTTTCTCCTAAAAGTGTCATTTATGTTTAGGTCTGTGATCTATTTTGAATTAATTTTTGTGTAAGGTGTGAAGTATAGGTCAAGGTTCTTTTTTTCCCCCCCAAGTATATCTAGTTGTTTCAACATCATTTGCTGAAAAGACTTAAATTTCACTACAGCACGCTTCAGTGTGGTTTTCTTTTCTTACCTCTTTCTCACCCATGGGAGAAAGGAGGATTTTTCATCTCTATTTAGTCCTGTGAAAGTTATCTTGGATTTTCTTCAAATATTTTCTACTGTTGATTTTCACTTTTTTATTTTTCTTGGACTCTTATTATCTGGATATTAGTAATTCTCTTTCTATCTTTATAGCTCTTCACTTTTCTTTATAGTTTCTATTCGTTTTCTCATTTTTCTGTGATTTCCTCAATTTTATCTTCCAGCTCAGTCATTTTTTATCAACTATATCCATTCAATTTTTAATCTCTTCTATGTTCTCAATTTCAACTATTCTTTTTATATGTAAGATTCAGTATTTCTGTTTCTTCTTTGTATCATCTCTTTCTGTTTCATGTTACTTAGATCTTTTTTATTTATTTTGGTATGTTTAGTAAACTTAAATTTTTGGTCCATCTTTTCTAATATCTGCGCTTCTGATGAAATCTGTGACTCCGTTTTTTATTTTTCTTTGAAATAGTTATGCTCCTCTAATGACTGGTTATCTTCAGAGGTAATATCTGCTTGTTTTAGGATTGCTGAAGGCTAGCGCTTAGTCTGTGTGCTCCCTATCAGCTTAAGTGGGAGGTGCGGGAAATGGACTCTAAAGTGGAAAGCATTTCTTCCTCTTTGCCCCCAAAAACCAGAGCTAATCATTCCTCATCCTAAGTATCCGTGCCTCGAGTTAGGTCTTTATCCTTAATATCCCAAGAAGTAGTAGCCTTAGGGAGAGACACTTCTTAAATTGCAAACCACATGCCCATCTGGGGGACAGGAAGAAGAAGGATTAAGAGGCATCTTCCCAAGCCTACCCTAGTCCCTACCAGATGTTCTCAGCTCCGTGCCCACCCGGCTTCTGCACAGACTGGAAGGTACTCCTGAGTACAGCTGCCTGAGTCACAGGGCAGGGAATGGAGTGTCATTATGATACCTTCTTCCTGTGTTATCCTGTCACTGCAGACTCCCTTCCTTCGGTTCTAGGATAAAGTCAGCACCAACACCCCTACTCACTCTCACACAAATGTAGTAGTTCAGAAGAGCTCTGTGTCTCCCCAGGGGACTTTCAGTTTTCTTCTCATTTTGATGTCATTCCTTTACAGTACCTCCAGGGCTGGTCTTGAGAGAGGAGCCACCAGAACCAGAAGCAGGACTTGCTGTTCTTTCTGCAGTGTTCTCCGACCTTCTCAGACATAATACCTACTTAACTCCTGTTTGCACTTCCACGTGACAACTTATATATATAATTTTGGCAAATAGCTCTGCAAACATTACCTTTTCTCCATTTTCTTACAAAATTTTTTCTGCTTAATTTCCGTTTTACATTGGGTTACTCTGTCATTTTCCATCTTTCAACTGCTTTTTAAAACATTGATCATCTCATATCTCCATGCTGCACTGTAGTTAATTAGATAATCTTCCAATTCATTTAATCTCCTTTCATAGGTGCCCATTTAGTATTTTTTCTGTCTAGTGAGGTACGTTTGTCTGTGTATATTTATTTATTTATTTTAGAGACTAGGTCTTACTCTATTGCCCAGGCTGGAATGCAGTGGAATGATCATAGCTCACTGTAACCTCAAACTCCTGGGTGCAAGTGATCTTCCCACCTCAGCCTCCCAAGTCACTGGGAGTTCATCACTACACCTGGCTAATTTTAAAAATATTTTGTAGAGACAAGGTCTTATGTGATATTTCCCAGGCTAGTCTTGAACTCCTGGCCTCAGGCAATCCTGCCTTGGCCTCCCGAAGCACTGGGATTACAGGCATGAGCCACCACACTCTGCCAGGTTTTTATTTCAATAACTCTGTTTTTCACTTAGAGAACCTCTCATTGCTTCTTAACTGTATCCATTTGTACCTATTTCACATCTGCCTGTTTTTATTACTTGATTTTTTATTACTGTAAATTAAATGTTATCTTTTCCATTATCTTTTAAGACTACATGTACTCACTTTTAAATACTTTCTAGATTTCTTTATTAGATTGGCTTTTTCCAGAAAGTCAATTTTCTGTGTTTTAGAATGTTGGATTATAAACTCATCTTAAGTAGCTCAAGTTTTGGTTTTCGTTTGTTAATCTTTCTCTCTGTGTGTGTCCTTTCTCCTTCCTGCTTAACAGTTTTTCGTTTGCCTCCTCCTGGCACCTGGAACTATTCATCCACATTCAGGACCTGCCAGCAGCTTGGCATTGCTTTCTTAGGTGGTATCAGAGATATTGCAGATCTGGTCCCTAGAAAAAAGGGTGCCGTATTTTAATTGCTAGAGAAGTCTGTGCCCTCTCACCTATCCAAGTCTGATACTTTTAAAAGCCGCAAACCCAGGCTGTGATTGATGACAGGTTATTTCAGCTTCCTTTGTAAGTGGGGATCCTGATGCCCGAGCATAATTTCAAGGAGGGGGCCTATATTCAGCACTCCCATCTTGAATTGACACTGTGGCCTTCAAGAGTTGAGCTCCTTATTTTCTGTACCATTTTCTGCACCTAGAGCACCAAAGGTCCACAGTGTCAACCTCTCCTTACCATTATTTGTTTCTGTTCTATGAAGATGTTAATCTTGATTTTGAGCATGACTATATCTTTTCAATTTTCACATTCGCATTTTCTGTCTCATGGCTCTGTGTTTGGAGAAGGGAGGTATCCCCAAAGTATGAACCTACAGAACCATCTTGGCTAGAAATCTGTTTCACTCATGACCGTGAAATTATCTCATTAATTCATTTTTCTGTTTACTGTATGTTTCTCCCACTAGAAGGAAA